ATGCCCCCCCCCCCCTTTGGGAAAGGCCTAAAGACACTTCAGTCAGTGGCACCGCCCCGTGGGTGACACCGCTGTGACATGTGGAGTCTCGGCGTAGATCTACTGCTGTACAAGATGCTCTTCGACGTGTTGTCATTTCACCGCGGCTGTAGTAAGCACGGTGGCTCCTTGCATTTCTCGTGCGAGGACTGCGAGAGGATCTCGTACTTAGATATAAAATATAAGCCTATATATTGCGGGAACTATCGCTTTCCTGAGAATGCCGTCCAGCTGTGTACAGGCATCGCCATCAATCTGATCCAACAACGCCTGGGTGTTGATCCTCATGCTCGCTACACAGTCACGGACGTCCAGCTTTTTTTTTGCCTCGAGCGTGAGAGGTGACGTCAACCCGACGGTCATCGTCATCACTGGTCGCTGATTTGAAACTGATCACAGGCAATCTACTTTCGTGGACTAAACTTAAGTATCAAACTATCGGAGAACGTACTCTGTGTTTTCTTTCTGATCTGAAAGCCTACAGATTGACAGATTGATGAATGTGACTCGTGGTTCTGGAGACGGATGGATTTCCATTTGACCTATCTATTAAGGGAAAAATGAACCGGCAGAGTTCTGGGAATGTTGTTTAATTATCGATAATTAATAGTGTCATTCGGATTTCACGATGTTTTCAGACCCAGATTCATTTAATGGACAGGGTTGACACTGCATTTACTTTTACTTTACTTTTGCTTTTATCCGCCTCTTATACCCTTTTCGGTGTCGGGGGAAGAAAGAGATGTCTCTCTGTCGCCAGCCGGAGAGCTTGGGTCAGAGGGATGCCGTGGGAGGTTAATGTTTCCCTGACTCCATCTATCCAGGTCTTTCTCGGTCGCCCTCTAGCCTTGTTACCATCGAATTTTAGGATGTAGGCACGTTGTGTTGGATGGTGTGTTGGTAATCGTAGGAGATGTCCGAGCCATTTGATTCTTTTTCGTTGGATGTGATGCACGACATCATATTTTGTTCCCACCTTGTCTCGGATTACTGAGTTTTTAATTTTGTCTCGCCCGCATTTACTACTGACAGTACCCGCGTCAGATTGTCCATCGAGCTTGATTCTTTCCACCACAGACATGGTAATATCATTCTCAATAGGCCTACTTAGTGTACCCAGGGAGACAGTCGACACAACCGATGACACCGTGCCTGCAACAATAACGCACTATCGTTAATGGGCAAGACAATGATAATCAAGTGAAAAGGGAATGTGTAAATATATATACAAGTATAGGATGGGCTATATTCTCCATTGCTTCATAAAACCCCTTCACCACCTTAATCCATTTTAACATTATCATGTGTCAGATCCATAATTCTCCGTTAATTCTTTTGCCTGGATGCTCTAAAGAAAGCTATACAGCGGAATCCTGTTATAACGAGAGGGAGGGGACCGGTGCAAAACATCCGTTATAGCAGGATTCTCGTTATAAGGGATTCAGTGATAAATTCAAGGGAAAAAGTACAGTAAGCCGAATCTGGTTTTCTATTTTTTTTTCTTTTTGTTATCTCCTCTGACGATGGTTTTGTTCAACATCATCTCTAGGTCTTACTTGATCAAAAGTCGAATAAGGTTTCTTTCTCTAGCGCTAGCGATGTTGACAGTTCAGCGTTGGCGATCAGAAAGAAAGTTCTCTAGGCTAACTCGCCCGCTGTGTTGTCCCCCACCCCAACACACCCTGTAGTGCGTTCCGTCTGCTTGCGCACGTCAAGCATTCGCTCCTTCCATCCCATCCCAGTCACATCGTTGTGACCTCTCTATCCCCGCATCAGAGAAGTGAGAGGCGTGGTAGGCCTAGATTGGCCTAGATAATCTAGACTAGGCTGGCCTATCACGCGATGCGTTCTGCTTGTCTGTGCATAGGCCTACCACATTCTCCCCACTCATTCTCTCCGGCCTTCTTCGTCGGCACACCTGGGCTCTCCCATTCTTTTTTTTTTTAGCAAGATCACCAACAAGTTTCTCTACTGGCGAGGTTTTGCATGAATAAATGGCCTATGCGCTGTGCACAGCAACAGCAATATTCCGCTATAACCGACTCGCATGTCTGCTGTCTGATTGCGCAATAGCAGTATTGTATTTACAAAGATAAAGAAGGGAAAAAAACGGGGTTTTAGAACAGTGCCTTTATAACAGACTTTCCGTTATTCCAGGACTCATTATAAGTGGATTCCACTGTATTATCTTGATCTGTCCCTGTCACCCATCTGTTTAAGCTGTCCAAGAAGGTTACCTCTGCTCTACCTCTGCCTCGTTTACCCTCAATTTTGCCAGGGAGAGCTAAATGTTCGAGGCCTTATAGGTCTATTCAAGTGTCACAGAAATACATGTAGCATCATATTTTGTCTTTTCCTAATTGTTTTATCAGAAAAAAATTCTCAGGAGTCTCTTAAGAAACCACTTTTCTATTGCTTTTATACATTTTCATGTGCACCTTCTTTACTGATTTTCCAGCATACACAGCAGTTTATTTTATACAGATCTACAATATGTAGATGGGCTGACCACTGTAAGAAAGTGAAGCCAGCTAGGGCTAGTAAATGTCAAGGATTTTCAGGCACAATTATTATTACCCTGGACGCCACTGACTGCCCAGTGTAAGAAAACGAAAGGTTGGCATGTTCGAAGCCCATACTCTCGTGGGCACGGAGGGAGGAAAATGTAGGCCTAATGCCCTTGGCGCCATTGCCCAGGCCATGATCCTGTACTGTAGAGCTGGGAATCTTAGCACTGGCGTGGAGCTCTTTAACATCTTATCCTAAAATCTGTTAAGTCCGTGATTTCTAAGATCCCTACCAAAAGATATTGAGAAGTCACATTTAAAGTTAATGAAAGACACGGGAGAACACAAAGATTTGGCATGTTCACAGCCCAGAACGTAACTAATAGGTACTAGATCTATAGATCGAGGTACGAACGATCAAGGCGGGATCGTTACGACGCCATGGCCTTATAGATCTATTATACTGAGGGCACGAAAACACGAAAGCAGAGGAGAGAGAGGGAGAGAGAGGGAGAGAGAGAGAGAGAGAGAGAGAGAGAGAGAGAGATAGAGACATGGAGAGACAGGGAGAGACAGAGACAGAGACAGAGACAGAGACAGAGACAGAGAGAGAAAGAGAGCCAGAGAGAGAGAGAGAGAGTGGGAGAGAGAGAGAACGAGAGAGAGAAAGAGAGCCAGAGAGAGAGAGAGAGAGAGTAATAAGAAAACTAGAATAGCTTACGCGAAGGCCAGTGATGATCGTAGACTTGTACAGTGCTAATAGCAGTCGTCCGTTTGACAAACTGTTAAGCTTAGCTAGTGTTGCAGGAATTGGAGACGATCTGTTACTTTTCAGTTAATTGTAGGACCCTAAAATTCTCCTTGTGTATTTGAAATGATAACATCCTCGTATGACTTGGCGTAGTAACTGCTGTACAGAACGAGATGCTCTTCGGCATGTTGCCATTTAACGGCTGCTACTCCTTCGCTCGTTCTTACGGCTGTCTCTTAGCCACACCCCTGATCTAAGATCTTAGGGTAGGTATGATCTAACACCTAGCCTTCTCGGATAAGGGCGAAAAATCTGGGAGGTCCCATGTGCAAGTTGCGAACATAAAAATTGGTGATCCAAAATCAATAACTTTTCAATAAGACCACCGGGCAAATTTCGAAATTAATTCCTACCAAACTGATAATCTTGTGTCCAACGCGATCATAATACTATGACCTTATGCAGTTGTAAGCGCCGTAGAACACTTACCAAAGCAAAAAAATCAAACAATCCAACAACAAAAAACAAACAACTACAATAACAACACCCGCCCCCCCCTCCCTCCCCACAAGAAACTGGTGGTCTCCACAGAGACACCACGGTTATACCGCACATGTAACAATATTTTACTCTTTCATCGACATAATTTTGATCAGGGCTGAGGTGGTCAGCACTGACCCTAACGTCTGTCACGGTTATTCCGGGTTGAGAGGGATAAACTCATCATGTAGGCCTAAGAGAAAATGAGCGCATTGGCAAAACATAATTTTTAAAAATACTAAAATCGAGTACTCAAGACGCCGAACTCGTTGCGAGGAGAAGGAACATTGTAAGGCGTGTCTCGTGATTTGAAGAGTTCTCTTCCGTGTAAGGGCCTCAACTCCGTGTTGTAAACACTTCCTCCTTTGCTTCTTACTGCTTGTTGATTTTTGTAATCCTTCGCAGTCCATTCAGAAGCGAACATGTCACATCAAACAGGAATTACAGGTAACTTTAATTGATTCCGTGACAGCTATTTCAGGGAAGTTGTTCAGGAGAAATGTAGGTTTTTGCTTTCCTTTTCATAATTTAATTGGTAATTAGATTACAATCTGTCAGTGGCGGCAGTGGTGGAGTGCTCCGGGCCCGGGGGGGAGTGTCCCGGCAAAGTTTGCCAAAGGTGATTTTTACTGTGGATTTTAATTGGATAAAAATTTGGGCGATGTGACCAAGTGAATATCATAAATAAAGAGTTAGAATACCCCTTGGCCTTGGTAAGATCAGCGGACTGACTTTGCCTTTGTCTCATCCTTAGACTTAGAGGAATTCATGATTTCCCCCAGTTTTTAATGGAAGTGCCTGAAGTGGCTATTCTCATCCGAGGTGAGAATAGACATAGATTTAAACGATCTACCATCACTCACCCCGGGTGAGACTTGCCAGCGTAGGCTATTCTCACCCGGTGCGAAACAAGACCTGCTTTTCCTCATTTTGGAATACTGACTAGATCTATCGGTGTGGATGATCAAATTGATAAAAGCCAAGAAAAAATTACGTTTATAGCACAAAAAAAGTAGGCCGGCACTATTTCTCCGAACGTTCGGGAAAATAAAGCTGGGCACTATTTCTCCGAACACTCTGAAATCACACCCTTTCCCGCATATTTCGGATAATAAAAATAAAATATAGATCTATAATTAATTATATTATAGGCCTACCAAAGATTGTTCGTATACAATATGGTTCAATCGGTCCAAAAAATGTCCGTATTTATATAAAGAAATGCTACAGTTCCAAACAGTTTTTCGCTACAGATATGACGTGTGGCCTATGAAGGGTGCTGCTCTTAAACTTAATGTGTTGCGTTCACTCGTGAGCTGTCTAGATCTAGATCTATGGAGGGTTATTGATAACGACACATAGAGCTAGCATCTGCGTTTGTCGAGGCCGCGACCAATCAATCGTGGCTCGATTTTTTGGTCCCCGAAAAAGTCAAAAAAAAAGAAAAGAAAATGAAACTCTTTACTTTTGAAAGAAAGTTCACTTAGCTTCACTTCGTCTCTTTCTCACTTGTCACCATGTTGATTTGTTGAATACGTTACAGTTACATACGATTTGTATTGCTGTTCCTCTTTTATTTTTCGTTCATTTTTCCCTCTTTGTGGTGTTATATTTTGTTGGTGTGTATTTTTTTTTCTTGTTATTGTTCTGATGTGTTGTTTTTCTATTAATTTTTTTTTGTTGGGGAAAAGGGGGGGGGGGGGGGTTGTATAGTGTAACGTCATTTAATTTGATGTTCCTACAAAAGGTATTGTGTAACGTCATTTAATTTGATGTTCCTACCTTCATTAGATTCTAAATATATATACCTGTATAGATTTAAATGTGCTATGTTAGAGCGTTCCACCAAAACCAAGTACATGTACTGACACTGGCAGGCCCCCTGTGTGTGGTTCCATAATTTCCATGCAATATCCTGTACTTTTTAAAAACAAATTACGCACATTTAGGGTTAAAACGGTCAATCTTCTTTGGACAGGTGGACACACGCCCTTATTTGTTAATTGTTGTGGTTGTTTCTGGGCTGTTCTAGTTTTGATTTCATTCTGTTGTGAAACCTTTCTTTTTCACGTTTTTACACTCATCTAAAAATCTCTAGACTAGATCTAGATCTAGCTCTTGAAAATTGAAATAGATCTAAACCCAAAAATTTGCTCCGTTTTTTTTTTTAAATGGACGATAACCGTCCACTCAATAGAAAAGAGGGTCAGATTTCTCCGTCTCTCGGGTGCCTCAGGCAGTACCCGCCTCGCTAAACCAGTGGGCACACGGCCGGAGGAGAAGCTGAGAACAGATACCACCTTTGATTTGCTCCTTCCCAGATCTCGCAGAATGACGGAATGAAAGTTCGCGCCGAACTCTCGCAAATAGGCAAACAATCACGACCAGAGCGGAAGCCGGAAACCGTTCGGAGAAATAAAGATCGGCACTATTTCTCCGAACGTTCGGAGAAATAGTCACTTCGAAAAAAGTAAGCTAATTTGATCGTCGGTCTTCAAAGATGCTATGGCTAGCCTATTTCGCTGTTCGAATCGAGCCGAACTACGCGGGTCGCCATTTTGTTTTGCTCGGAAGTTCTCGCATGATCTACTCCTCCCCCCCCCCCTCTCTCTCTCTCTGTCTCTTTCTGAATACTGTCTATCGGTGTGGACGATCAAATTGACCAAAACAAAGTTAAAAAATGATGTTAAAGCACAAAAGTAAATTAATTTGGTTGTCTACAAAGATGCTACGGCTATTTAACTTTTCGAATCGAGCCGAACTACGCGGGTCGCCATTTTGTTTTGACCGGAAGTTCTCGCGCTACTCCTCTCTCTCTCTCTCTTTCTCTCTCTCTCTCTCTCTCCACTGCCCACAGACAAAATTGTACGCTTTTAGTAGGCTACAGTTGTAATGGAACGTTTGTTCACGGCACAAAATTCTACAATTTTTCTGTTATCACAGTGTAGAATTCTGTGGCTTAGGGTGAACGCAAAATTTGTTGGCCTAGATCTAGGCTATAACGGTGAACGCGCACCGGGTGAGAATAGCCAAAAGACTCGCCTGCACTATTCTCACCCCGGGTGAGAATAGAGGTGGCCGTTTTTAATATCTCTCAATGGAGAATCTCGAACCGATAGATCTAAAATCTATTATTCTTTGATAATTTGTCAGGGGGGAAGACCCCCCTAAACCCCCCACCCCCTCCTCCACCCCAACCACACGTCTCATCCATCCCACATTCTCGCGCAATACTGTATACATAGGAAGAGGCTAGCTGTGCTTAATGACGGCTAGACTGGCAGTCTAGCCGTATTTAAGTACGGCTAGACTGGTTGGCTAGCCGTACTTAAATTCTTAATATGATGGCTAGACTGACCATTTTAAAAAAATAGGCCTACTGAATTGTATAAATTTTTAGTGCGCAGTACCTACATTATTTGTATTTGAGACGACACCAGGTGCCTTCTTAATGACAGTGCATGTATTTTAAACATCCTGTTTTCTAATGTTAATAGGGCCTAGGATAAGTACGGCTAGACTGGCAGTCTAGCCGTACTTAAGTACGGCTAGACTTCTTGGCTAGCCGTACTTAAGTACAGGAAGACAGTCAGTCTAGCCTTAATATTGATGGCTGAATTGTACATGAAATTTTTAGTTTGCAATGCCTAAAGTATTTGTATTTCAGACAAAACCAAAAGGTGCCTTACTAACTTGCATGTATTTGAACCTGAATAATTACTAGATCTAGATCTAATGAGACCTGTGTACTTTTAACATGCTTGAGTCGATAGGGCCTAACCTAGATCTAAGTACGGTTAGACTGGCAGTCTAGAAGTACGGCTAGACTCTCAGTCCACTTCGTACTGATAATTAGTGGTCCGGTATTCTTCAATCTTCCCCACCCCTTTGTCGTGTTAAAAAAACAACCTACCGACTACGAAGCTAATCAGGAGTGGAATTTTGCACTCAGAATCTCCCCAAAAGTTTCTCTAGAGTCTAGTATTCTAGGATTTTAGTTGGATTTATCTCTACTAATCTAGAATCTACATCTAGAATCTAGATCTATCTACAGTCTACATTCAATGATGATATTATTATTTCGGGTCCATAGCCACTTTATTGAATGTGGGTTGTTGGCGGGTGCTCTAGTGTGGTTTGCTCCTTCTTTCCTTCGAACATCCATCATCCCTATCTCCCTTCTTCTTTTTGTTACTCTCTTGTAACACCTCTAATCTTCTGGCACTCGTATGACCTTTTATGCAGTTGCGAGCGCCATAAAACCTCTACTAAAACTAAACTAAACTTTATTGAATGATATTTGCTCTGTCTATTATTATCTTGATCTAGATTTAGATAGATCTACTTAAAAGTACGGCTAGCCTGTCAGTCTAGTCGTAGGCCTATTTAGATCTAGGTTAGAGGCCCTATTCACTGAAACCTGTTGAGTGCACGGGTCTCATGATATTAGAAGATTCAGGTTCAAAATACATGCTTGTCATTGTCAGTAAGGCTCCTTTTGGTTTCGTCTGAAATACTTAATATTTTAGAAGGTATTGTAAAAAAAAATTGTATTTAAAATTCAGCCTTCATTATTAAGTACGGCTAGCCTTCCCGTCTAGCTGTCCTTAAGTGCGGCTAGCCTAGCAGTCTAGCCGTACTTATTTTAGGCCCTATGGAACCTGTTGAGTGCACATGTCTCGTTAGTAATTCAGGTTTAAAATACATGCACTGTCAGTAGGGCACCTTTTGGTTTTGTCTCAAATATACAAATGCTTTAGATTCTTGGTATTGCGAACTAAAAATTTATTTACAGGTCTGTACGCCTAGCTTGTGATTTTGTTTTGGTTTGTCTGTTTGTTGAGAACAGTTACTAAGAACTTATGAAAAGGCAGTGAAAGTCACAATAATGCATTCCTTATGATAGGTAAAAATAGAGCTCTTTTAACTCTTTAAGTATCATACCGTGTACAGCAATACCTAATCTAATGGTCATTCTAATGTGCACTCCTCTGTCTGCATCAAAGAGGACTTGCATCATGTTTACTTTGAGTATCCAATGTCCCATTTTTGTATTCTTTATTTTCACAAAAAGTATAAATTTCACTGTTTATTTTCAGCAAATTCTGAACTCAGGACGTTTTTAGCCTCTTCCAAGGATGGGAGCGTAAGACTTATCAAAGTTGCTATAGAAGATGGTGAGTGCTTTTCCTCTAAATGTATTTTATAGCAGTTCACTGCTTCTGGTCACTAGTATGTCTTGCATTAAATTTAATGTACTGTTTCAAAGTTGATGTTATCACACATTTCATTGCTTAACACTTGCTTATGTAAAACATATTATGATGTAATATGGCAGTGAATGAACATTTGTAAAACTAAACTGCATTTCTTTTTTTTTTTTTCAATTTATTGTCACAATATATTTGGATCCTATTGTTAAACTTTGACTTGTCTTGTTTTGTTCGTGTATGCTTTCATGCTAATATTTCATATGTATCTCCAATTGCAGAAGAGCTTGTGTATGCAGATTCAAGTGCACCAAATGGATCATGGGAAGATGATATCCTTTTTTATAAGAATGAGGGTAGTCTCTATTTCTTTTATCTTCCTCAATGTTGTTCTAATGAAGTTCATCATTATTCTCGTTCCAGTAAAGCATTGCTAAGAAATTTGATGCTTTGTTTCGATAATAGAGTGTGTTAATTTATGTTTTTTCGGTTGTTCTTTTTGACTGGTAAGATGTTTATATATTCTGTGGTCTCTTTTGAGTCGATGACTGGTGGGATGTCGTGTTTTGTTAATTTCTTGTACACTTCTCTTTCAATGGTTGTATTCATGGCTACCTTACAAAGTGGCTTGATGGTTACGTATATACTCTCTTCTGATATGCTCCTTCTGCCTCTCTACGATTCCACCCCATACAGATTGGCAGATGGTTGACAGATTCTACAGTGTGGTCTGTCGCTTGGGTATCTTTTTCCTTAATAGCATCAACAGTGCCATGAAATTTAGTTGGAACTGACAGTTTGAAGTCATTATGTTTAAAAAACTGTTTCACTTCCCCGAAATACAATGAATTTCCTTTTTTCTTGTGGCTTGAAGGAGGAAATTTTCTTCATTTTTCTTTGATAACATGTCTACTTGACGCAGTGCCGGGCTTGTGGATTGTTGTGTACCGTTGATGATGGTTAGACTAAAAGACAATTCTATCTTGATTCTGTCAGTAAAAGTGATTGTGTTGTGGCACATCTGCCATAACACTTCTCAGTCTCTTGGCACAATAATGCGCCGGTGAAAATTATCAGTTCTGGTCACCTGCGCCAGACCCGAAAAGTTAGTTGCAGTCACTCTCCTGGTTGGGGGACCTGATGGGGTATTTCGTACTGCTGGCTGTGTGACTACAAAGTGATAAGCTGACAAATCACTTTTTTTTTCATTTTTGGCACCAAATTTTTTTATTTGCTAAGGCTAATATATCGATTGTAGTATCAGTTACCCTTTTTTTCTTTTGTGAAAAAATCAGTGAAACTGGCTAGTTTTTTAATAAATTATAATTCAAATTTCGGAAGAATGCCTTTTCCAAATGGTTACGCTGACAAAATGCCTTTTTATTTCGAAATTGCTGTATAAGGTGAAAAATGTGTTTTGTCTGCATACGGCAGACATGTCTTTGGCTCAGTCAAAATGAAAACTGTCATTGATTTATGGGCTCTTACATTTCATCTTGAGCTTGCTTCTGTTCCGTTGCTGGAAAATAAACCCATTCTATTTTCTTGTATTGGCTATTTTATGTGTGGGCTATTTTCAACCACACTGATTGGATATCTAATCGACGCGACCACCAATTTCAAGTCTTTCTTTGATGAAAAGGTTCTGTGTTTTAAATTCTTTTTATCTTACGAAAACAAAAAAGAGAATTCAAAACTGCAATTTCCTGCTCTTGAGTTGCGTGTTGATGGTTTTTTGTTTGTTTTGTGGTTTTGGTATTTGGTTGGGGTTTTTTTGGGTTGGACTTCTCAGTTATTTTTTTCCTTAACGATGACACATTATGATGCCTTGGTGCTGCCGTTGCTGGACGAGAAAATGCCCTGTTTCATCTTGTACAGGTTTGACTCACAGAACAGTGCAGGATATGAATGGCTCTTCATCTCATGGTCTCCGGATTTCGCTGCTGTAAGTTTTATTGAAGAATTCATTCTAAATGTTTTTCACAAGTGCTTATAATGTGAGTTTTGTAAGTGTGTGATGCTTTTCTTTTCTCCAGGAACTAATGTTCATACTCACATGTGCTTGTACTCACGCACACATATCCTCTTTCATTCACTTATACACGCTCACATACACACTCACACACATAAACACCCTCACACTCTCACTCATACACACATGTACGAACACATGTGCATGCACACACACACCCACACACCCACCCATACACACACTCGTGTATACAAATGCATAAAAAACGCATACTTGCACACATGTGAAAACATACTCATATACACACAATCACATGCACATAACAACACTTCTGACGATATTTTTTATGGTTTGTCCATTGAATTACAATGATTTACTTCTGAGTTTATGAGTAAGAGAGAGAAGCATGGGCAGGGTTATGTTGTTTCCTAGGTAAGTTTTGCATTCCTGACGTATTTTGCCGGTACTTTATTATTTTTTTTTTGGGGGGTGTCTGTTAGCATAATTTTGACCCTCATAGATGTTCCTGTGTCCCTTTTTAGGCAATGTGTTATCTCAATAAGAAGTAAACTTTAACAGTTGGTGGTTGTTGGGATCTTTAAAAGGGCTGATCCTTCTACCTCTGGAACTCCTTTCTCGAGAACCTCTGAGAAAAATAAATCCTAACAGGTTGAAGCGATTGCTCAAGACTCATTTGTCTATTTCTCAGTTTTTGTGTGCTGGCAAGTGCTGATATGTTTTGTTTTCACTGCTGTCCTTACGTGTATATAATTCATGTATGGTTGAGAAAGTTCTTCTTTATTCTGTTGAACTGGTTTTCTTGTTTCTGTGAAAAGTTTTATCTTGTGTGATTGAAGTGTTAGGCTCAGTGGTCTTAAGATCAATGTAAAGCGCTCAGAGCTTGTACTCGTGTGGGATAGAGTGCTATATAAATGCAATCTACTATTATTATTATAGTTATTATTATTATCATCACCATTATCATTATCCTCATGATTATTATTATTGTTGTTGTTTTTTTTACTTATTTTTTTATTTTTTTCCCCAGTGTCTATTGTTGCAATCTGCTTGCTGACAAAATGTGACTATTTTAATTCTGATGAATGTTGAATTTAAATTTTGCTCTTCCTTTCCAAGATTCATACTCATTTTATGGTGTGTTGGCAGGTGAGACAGAAGATGTTGTATGCTGCGACCAGGGCCACTATGAAGTCTCAGTTTGGAGGTGGCCAGATAAAAGATGAACTGTTTGGTACTGTTGTGGTAAGGATTTCAGTGACTCATTAATGATCAGTCGGTTTCTTGAAGTCTTTCAGACTGCAAATTTTAAGCTGCAGTACCTGTGTATATAAAGAGATTATTTTATGGCTTGCAAAATTTAAGTTACATTACCTCATCATTTGTATGGCAAAGTAGCTTGGAATCTTGCTTGTAGCTTTCTCCTCTGAATGACCCTAAGCCTAGAGAGCGTTTGTGACTGTGTTGATTATGGTATGATGTTATATGTGTCACGACTCTGTGGAATCAGGCAGTTGTCAGTTTTTGGGCATATAGAGTTATTGATACCATCTTAAAGCTTGTATGTTTGTCTTGCTTTAAATGAAAAAGTTACCCATCTATCATAATAAATAGAATTAGAGATATTTGCAACTGAAGGAGGTTGGGTCGCCTGGTTTCAGAAGTAAAATTAGCGAGGAAAGGGCCACTAAAGTTTGGAGACTTCCAAAGCTTGAGAGTTCTTGAAGAATGCATGTTTACATTTTTTTTGACTTTTCACCATGTTTTTAAGTAAAATCCATACAGAAATGTGTTTTTAAATGGTTATTAAAGATGTTGAGGAAGAAAAAAATCTAAGAAAATTACCCAACAGCCAGAAAAATGCTAGTTTCTTTGATTTGACGAGCGCCTGATTTCACCACGACGCCTCACATATTGTTTTTGTTCAGAGACTTGTGAAAGAGTCACTGTTAACCTCTTCCAGTTGGGATCAATAATATAGTGTATCTCTTTAACTTACTTACTCACAACTTGCTTTTGTGTAGTGGCATTTGGCAAACTTGTTCTACTAAAGAAGACCTCTGTGGAACTGACTAGTTGTATGTGACCTTCCAGAGTGATGTCAACTTGAGTGGCTACAGGAAGCATGTGCAGGCAGCTCAGGCCCCTGCCCCACTCACCATGGCAGAGGAAGAACTAAAGCTCATCAAGCAAAATGAGGTGAACTTTGATTTGACTATTGTTCCTTTTACTTTACTCATTTTGCTTTTTTTCTACTTATCTCTGACTTTGTTAGTGTTATCAATAGAGAATATCAGCTGAGGTATCAGAGATTTATGCCTACTACTGAAAAATGACTATTTACAGCTCGACAGATGATAAAAGGCATATAAAGACCTATCTTTTCTCAAAGCTAATAGAATGAGCCATTTAAAACTGATAAGCGATCAATTACAAAAGGCAATGAAGTAAAAAATTAGTACATTAGCACTGCGGAACAAGTGATAACATATAGCATGTAGTCGCTCAGCTGGACTGCGTCACTTAATCAATATCTGGGCCAAGAGATGCGCTATGAAGTCAAAATAACTTGCAAACTCATTAGTCACGATTCATGACTTTGACCTGCAATTTACTATGTCATATACCATATAAGGAACACTGAAATTTTCAATTAAAAAAGGTCAGGGTCTATGCCCTTTATATAGGGCCTGCGTGCTTCCCGGCCGAAGTAGGTCAGCCTTATATATCGGGCTGTCGCACTTCTCGGTTAGCCTGGCTCATGCCGTATACTTAAGGCTGTCGCACTTCCAGGGTTAAAGGACCTTCCCCACGCAGGATTCATGTCTTCTCCATGTAACAGCGAAGAGTATAATCAATACTCAAGAGATGCTCGTATATTGGAGGACACATAAGGGAACATTCTTTCCAGGACTGTGAAGTCCAGTCCCTCGATGTGTAGCCTACAACACCACATCACCTCAGAGACATAAAGCTGACCTTTTACAGGTTTATTCAAAGTGCGACCAACTAGACTGATAAAGTCATTTAAAAAATGGTGAAATGGTATTGGTTTAAAGTAGAGACGGGCAGGAAGCACTTTTTCCTTCTCGAGCGAGAAGACGGAGAGGCTGACCTATTTGTCGCCGGGACCGCTAGAAGTGCTTCTCGTCTCGAGACCTAATTCTCGTCTCTCGCCGTTGGACGGGCAGCTCGCTGAGCAAGAAGGCCCGGATTCTAAACTAGGCTAGCCCTGTTGCGCAGGCGCAGGCGGTGAAGGAAGATAGGGAGACCTTGGCCTAGGCCTAAGCCCTGATCAACTCCCCACTCGCCTCGCCTTGCCACCCTCTCCCCTCCCTTTCAGTTTCTGGCACAGTGATGGGTGACGACCCTGTCTGCGTGTCATTTCTCGCTTGCTGTGCCGCTCTTTCCGTCGAACCCTCTCATTCTCTCACTCTCGTTACTCGTTATGTCAAGCCAACGAGCGGTATCAGTTCTCGCTACCGGCCAGTAGTTTAATGGCCAGGAAGTGATGGGAAGGGCTTTCTGGCGAGAAACGGGTACTTTTCTCGGCTCGTGCCCTCTCCTAGTTTAAAGCCCTGTAACTTTACCCATCTATGCCCAAAACGCGTGCTTCAGCATTGGGGGGGGGGGGAAGGGGGAGGGGGTTGCAAATCTAGCAGTTGACCCAAATGATTTAGTTGCACGGGTCCTTTAAGCTTAAGGGACCCAAGCTCAATGGGTCAAAGGCTTGTAGCTCTTTTGTTTTGTTTGTTTTTGTAAAGTGTTTTACGGCGCTCGCAACTGCATAGGTCATATGAGCGCGCGGGACACACATAATATTTTCAGTTGGTAGGAAATTTTGAATTTTGTCCAGGTGGCGGCCGAAGCCTACTCTTATCGAATTAAGACCACCAAGGGATCTTTAACGTACGCAACTTGCACACGGGCCCTCCGAGATTTTTCGCCCTTGTCCGAGAAGTCTAGGTGTAGATCTTTCCTACCAGAAGATCAGGGGTGTGGCTGAAAGACAGCAGTAAGAAGAAGCGAAGGAGTAGCAGTAGAAAGGCTACAGAAAGAATCAGGAGCCCAGAGGAAGGGGCAAAGGAGGTGAGGGGGTGGGGGCTGAAAGAGGAGACGAAAGCAGACGACAGAACATTGCTAGAGAGCAGGAAATGAAGTAAAAGGAGACAAATTTAGAGAAGAAAATTTTTCGGTCCCTTCCCGGATTCGAACCCGGGACCTTTTGAATGAGAGGCCAACATCTTAACCTCTAGGCCACGAGAGCCCCCTTGTAGCTCTTTTGCAAAGTGAGTAGATCTGAAGTTGAAGGTGGAAGTCCATAAAGTTATTCACACTTCCTTACCAGTAGGGCAAACACATTACATTGATCTTTGTGAATTATCTGTTGATCAAAATATCAACTTATTTTCTGGTTATATGTTAAGATGGCCTTTGTAATGGTTTTATGTGCAGGTACTTTGTGATTTGTGAGGACCAAATGTTTGTTGTTTTTCTAGCTGGAAGCCCAGATGGCTATGGTAAGGGGCATTTTGTGAAGTGTGTTTGCATCTTAAAGTGCTATGCCGTTGAGGTTGAGTGTTTAGTAATTGGGCTCTTACAAAATGAAACTGCTCTGTTGCATTATTCAGTCTTGTTGAAGATGTGTCTTAGTACATTCTGCTTGCCAGCAATTGACACACGGCAGTAATATTTTACTTGAAGTACGACTTGTAGGATTTGCAGTTGTTCTGAAGAATGTGAAGATTTTAATGCTTTGTATTGAGTAGTGTTTGACATGACATGAAATTTGTGCTGATTGAACTTTTAGGTTACAAGGCTAAAGCACGGACCTTTTTTTTTTCAAAAGAATTTGACCCATGTTTCCAGGAGTTGTTGTTTCTATTGCTTGAATTTTGTTTTGTGTGTAGTCGTTTGCATTTTTGTCATCCTGTGTACTTACTGCAACTTTGTGGTTGATTATGTATTGTTTCGTTTGCTCTTATTTAACATTTAGAAACTTCCACTGGTTTGAGTTTCCTTGGATCAAGCACCTAGTCTCTGTGGCCATGGACAAATGATCCACAGGAAGTAAAAGAGGTCGAATAATTTTAGAACTTAAAAGAAAGTTGCACTGAGAAGTAGTAACACTGATACAAAAAATGACTGTCACTATGGAAATTACACTTGAGTCAGTACTCCTAACCACCTGAAATATAAATTCTTAAGGTGAGAGCGACACATACTCAAAACTTGTGTGTTTTTTATTGTGTCATGGTCAAAGTTACTCAGTACAAATATTTTCTTATTGGATTAGAATGAAATTTGAGAGTTGCAGTTCTCAGGTTCATTTTGTTGGAGACTGTGACTGTAGAACAGTTGAAAGTCCGAGAAGAATTTCTCTTCGAGTACCTTTTGCTGGAGCAAAATTGATAGCCATTCCCTCTCCAAGATTGAAAAATCCCTATTCAATATGGACTACATTTTTAATTAATGGCATATGATGCAAAGAATCCTTCTCTCTCCTGGAAAAACAGGCCATGTACTTTGAAATTTGCTTCAGTCTGGACTGAGAACTGTTTCCTACTCTTGAGATGAAGCAGGGAGGATTGGAGAAGGAGAGTAGGAAGGATTTGTTTGAGTAGGACGGATCTGTCTTCCCCAGTTGTGGAAAAGTGCAAGTTTTCCAGAAAAGGACAGTTTTAATGTCTTTTAAATAAGTTGCTGGCATGGTATTTGTATTTAGCTTCCCGTGAAGCCCTTCCTTGCCTCTCTGTCCATATTTCTATAACATCTTCCACCGATACTAATTTTCATTGTAAATGTGTTAACAGTACAGAATACATTCAATTTCATATCATAATTTTTTTCTAATATTTTTGACCTCATGCAAACATTTTTTCTGTTAAGATTATGCTTTCAGAAGATTATATATTCATCTTAGCAGCTTGGGATACCAAAGATAATGCGCATTACATAATTTGAGTTTAGCTGGATGCCTGGAATGTTTGTCAGATGTTGTGAAAGCTTTGGTTGTGTATCTACTATGAAGTGTTTTTGCCCTTGACAGCTTTTTTAGTCATACTACTGGAGAAGAAAATAAAGGGATAAAAGGTGAAAAGGAAGACGAAGAAGAAAAATGAAAAAGAAAGAACAGAAGACAAGAGAATAAAGAAGCGATAAAAGGAATGAAACACTTTATAAAAAAAGAACAGAAGGAAAAGAGAAAGAACTTCAGGAAAAGAATAGGACTTGTTTTGCTTCCTTATGCTGCAAATGTTATAGTTAAAAAATCATGGTGTTTATTACAGATGTGAAATTTGACTTCATGTTATCAGACTTTGTTCATTCATTATTAAGTTATTAAAAAAATGTCCAAGTTGTTATGAATGATAACAAGGGAAATGTAGAGATATATGATGATATAGTATTATGTTTGGGTTTTGAAGTACACTCTGTCCACTCTCTCCTCTTGGTACTGCTGCGTGCTTTTTGTGACTGTGTGTTATTCCTTTTCTCTCTTCACAAGGCACAGTGGCATAAGTAGCATCTTGTGCCTTTATCATTGGACAGAAAATGGTGAGGAGCAGTACTTTTTCAACACCATTGTCTCTATTGAGGGGTCAGTGTGTCTACTATTGTAATTGCTGTGTGCAAATTTGTTTTCCCGCTGTTGGTAGTTTAATCTGTCTGAGTGACAATTCATCCTAGTTTGAATGCCGTCTGCTTTTCTTCAGGTGAATGCCCACATCCATGTGGAAACCAAGTCTCAAACTATGCAGGGTGTGGCCTTTCCTCTCACCCCAGATGCCGAGAATGCAGTCGTTACTTTCCGAGATGGAGCCATCAATTATGTACAACTGGTAAGACGAGAGAATACTTTGGGTCAGATTTGATGGCCCGAACAGTAAAATTGTTGGAAGTTTATCAATTGTGAAGTATTTTTAATTTTATAAGCATTAATTTTTAAGGCCCTCTACAGTATCAGTATTTTCTTGCAGGTGGTTGGAGGGCGCCACTAGTAGGCTCTACTTTTTTCCCTCTGTTGTTTTTGCCCATGAGTCTTATTTTTTCTGTGCACTAAATGACCATCATTGTGTTGATGTGGTTCTTTTTGCTGGAACAAACCGTATTTTACTCCTAATTGTTTGACTCTTGCACTTTTTACTGAAAACTCATTGTTTGTCGCAGTGCAGTTTTTCTGAGCAAGAGAGCTAAGTAAGTTAAATAAGTTATGGATCAAAATCTGGTAGAAAGTGATGATTGTGTTCTAAAAGTGTGATAGTCAAGACTGCACTTTGGTTGTTTTAGGGGTATCAGATTTTATGTTGTTGGTATCATTCGGTTTCCGGGCCTTTAGGTTAAATAATTTTGAGTTGGCTTTACTAATATATTTGAGGCATGCTGACAAAATGAGTTATTTCTCGGAATTTATCCCTATGGACACTGATAGATATGTCAAATTTATAGGTTTGGTTCATATAATCTATTGTATGAAATGATAAAACTCATGTTTTATTTGAAGAAAATGGCATCAGTTGAAAAAAATGTATAAATTTGATGTGTCTGTTTTCGGCCGAGATCTCAAGTCATTGATTGCGAGAAGTGACTTGTTTTGTTGGCAAACCTCACACATGATTATTTATTGTTCACCTTTCAGTGCCTTGACCTTGAAAAAGAAGTTGTGGAGGCAGCCTCGTCGGACACCATTCGGGTGAATCAGCTGATATCCCGCGTGCCCACCGAGAGTGCCCGCTACCACATGTTCCGTTTCAGTCACACACACGAGGGAGACGCCATGGACAGTGTTGGTGAGACATGCTGCTTTCTGGTGTCTCAGATACCGTATATCATTGTGTATAGGAAATGGGTGGTTCACAGGTGTTCTGGTGTGGTTTGCTCCTGCTTTTATATCTACATAATAACACATTTCCATGTGAATGTTACTGAATAACATTGATTAAAGGCTCAAAATGTGTAAATTTTCAGTTTTCAAGGACTCTTAAGCCATTGAAGTTACCAAACTTCAGCAGTTATTTTTTTCACCAATTTTACCTCTGAAACCAGCGACCCCAACTTCCTTCTATTGCAAATATCTTGATGTCTATTTAAAATAGATGGGATTTCATTTTTCATCGAAAGCGTGGCAACTAAATATGCTATCAGATGATACCAATAACTCCACATGCCAAAAAAATTGAGGAGCGCCTCATTCTACCGCGTCGGGACACATTGGTATCTCTATTTATGCCTTATGCGTCTCTCCTCAGTGTTCATCTATTCCATGCCTGGCTATAAGTGCTCCATCCGAGAGAGAATGCTGTACTCCAGTTGCAAGGCTCCCCTCTGTGATCAGCTGGCCGCTGCTGGTATAGAGATAGAGAAAAAAGTGAGTGTCTACTATCCCTCCATCGACAATATTTTGATGGCTGAATGCATTACTCCCAACGAACACCATTTTGAAATATGTGAGGCATCGTGGTGGAATCAGGCACTTGTCAAAATAATGTCATCAAAGAAACCGGGATTTTCCCGCTAGTTTGGCAATTCTTATCGAATTTTTGTTTTTTGGCTTAACATCTCTTATGTCCATTTAAAAACATTTCTGTGTGAATTTTACTGAAAAACGTTGATTAAAGGCGCAAAATGTGTGATTGTTCAGTTTTCAAAGGCTCTCAAGCTATGGAAGTCACCAAACTTTGGTGGCCATTTCTCACTAGTTCTACCCCTGAAACCAGGCCACCCCTGCTTCATTCAATTGCTAGTGCCTAGTGTTTGATGAAATTGTAGTCTCCACATCCTACATTGAAAGCATTTTTTATTGGTCATGATCTCTGAAAGGGTAAAAAATGCACAAAATGTCAAATGTTTGGAAAGAAGTTCTAACTAAGAAAGGAAACAAAATATTTAAATCAGAGCTGTTTGTGACATCTGTAATGATGTGAATTGAGTTTTCAGGACACCTTCTATGTAGAGTGAACCGGCTTGTAGTGTAGTGCCTGTGCCATCTGTGACTCCTGTTGTAAGCATGTATATTCCTGGGAGTATAGAGGAAGACTTTTCTTTTTTTCTTTTTCTTTTATAGTAGAGGGTTTTACAGCACTCGCAACTGCATAAGGTCATATGAGCGCCAAGGAGTGGGTGTCAACAGAGAAGTCTTTACAGGGAATCAGACTTAGACTGCTCACCTCTCTAGCTTCAACAGCACAAGGTCTGCTTCGACTATCAAGGCACCCCAAAATAGCAGGTCACAAGGGAGTGACAAACAACAAAAGAAGTAGAGGAAAATGACAATAGTAAGGATCAGGAAAGAAAAAGCAGCAGTTCCCTGTTGTAGATCAGGCACAGTTATGAGCATGACATGAGTCAGCCCATTTACAATTCTACTATGCTTGAAACAAGATATGTCCCCCCTTTGGGAATGGCCTGAAGACACTTCAGTCAGTGGCACTGCCCCGGGGGGTAGACTTATCTACTCCTCCACGACAAACTTTTGTGAGCTCCATATAATTGTCATTTCTCAAACCACCCTGAGGTTTGAACAAATTGAAATCATTGTCGTTTGTCAAACAAATGCTTTGATGGTTTGTTTTATTTTGCTTTGTTTTTGTATTTTTTCAGGTTGAAATGATTGTCATTTCTCAAACAATGCTGGAGTGGTTTTTTTTGTTTGTTTATGTCGGTGGTTGGCGGGTGCTCTGGTGTGGTTTGCTCCTTCTTTCCTATCAAATATCTTTCGTCCTGATATCTCCTCCTTCTTTTTTATGTTTGTTACTCTCTTGTAAAGCCTCTTAATCTTCGGCACTTATATGACTTTATTGTGTTGCAAGTGTCGTAAAACTCTTACTAAATCTTTGTTTGTTTATTTTATCAGATTGAAGTGGACGACCCTTCAGAATTGACCGAAGAGTTCATCTACGATGAGATCCACCCAAAGAAAAACGTCGCACGACAGGCGTTTGCCAAACCTAAGGGTCCGGCCGGCCGTGGTCCCAAAAGGATGACAAGGCCAAAGGAATAATTGTATTACTTGTGCTCCCAAATCCCTCCTCTCTGAACTTGTTGATGAAGAATTGTTTTTATTTTTATCTAATAAAAATGGTGATCCAAGATGTTGTGGGTTTATAATTTCCTTTATGTGTAGGTTTATATGAGAATATTAGCCCCAGATTGAGATGAAATATTCTAATTCGATTCCCAACTAATCCTCTTAATGTAGAAAGGATTTTGTAATTAACTCCTGAAACTATGTTGGTTTTTTATATGATGCACTCAACGTAAGATTGTTATTATTCTTAGCACAAGTTTAAACAAATTATTTCTGCTACTAGATTTTCAGCAATCTTTGGGATAGATTTTGTACGTTTTTGTCGAAGAAAGATTTTTCTTTTGAAAACTCCTCCATATGTTGAAAAAGCTGCATATACTCACTCTGTCACTACAGTTTTGTGTCATATTTGTGGCATGCTTTTTTTCTTTTATCTTAGAGAGCTTTTTCGTACTCCCGACATCACCTCCCACCCCCACCCCCCACCCCCATCCATCACTTATATTATTCCCTTTGGCAAACTGTTAAGAAGTTGCCGAAGTCATTATATAGTAAATTCCTCTATGTCAAGTATGAATGAAATATGGTTTCTGTCATGTGTGAAAAGGTTGTAGTGGGTAGAAATGAGGCTTGGCTGTGGTGGATAGAAATGAAGCTTAGCGGTGGTGCTATTAGTGCTAATATTTCAGAGGTTGTAGATAAAGATTTTTGGAACAAATACAGTTTTCTGCTTTGTAAACTATTTTCAATACTTGTTACTTCTCTGAGAGTGAAACATTTGTATTTCCTCACTTTTGAATATGAATAGATTCGTATGTGAAGACTAATTCAAGTATTCCTGCAAGGGTAACCAACAGAAATTGGGATTTTATTCATATAAAACCGCAGGTTGTAACAGAATTGTATTATATCTGTCCTTCTCTTACTACGTTTGTTTTGTTATATATTTGATCAGCCATCATTTATTCTCAAACATGTTTGAAATAAAAATGATGTTTTAAATTTAGCAAATGACGTCAATGTGATGCTTGCAATGTTGCATTATATTGAAAGTGTAGCTGTAATAAGGCGCTGTCACGTTTGTAGTATGGCTTTGCATTTGCTGAATTGCTCCCTCTCCCTGTCATCTGTCTTTGGTGATATATAGCAATGAAATGCTTTATAATACTCAAAACTTTCTCTCATTGCTTTCTGTAACCTTCCTGCATTGAAAGGATTTTCATTTTTTGAAAAATCTCAACTCACTATTGAACAGCAAGTGGGTTGTTGGTGGGTGCTCCTGTGTATGGTTACTGCTATCCTATCCATACCTTCTTGCATGCGAGTTGTGTAGATTTACTACAGACTATGAGTGATAACATCGTAAATGAATGGGACAATTTTTCAAAACTCATTCTGTGGTTTTCAGCTTCCCTGTTGTGCTCTTTATGTAGGTTCCTCTCCTGGTCTGTCATTCTTTTCTCGACGCATGTGGCACTAAGGTTTGGCTCTTCCCCTTTTTCACCAAAAGTTTTATTTCCCCATTCGGAAAATATTTTACTGACCCTCTACTCTCTTCCTGGGATATGGTATCCCATACTGCCTGGGTTAGTTCTGACGTGTAGGGTGAAAACAGCCTACTTCCCAGTGGGTCCGAACTGTCTTTTGAGTTTTAAAGCATTTACAACGAGTTGTTCTTTTTGTGTGGAGAAAGTTTGGGTCTAGTGCTGTAGGTTGTAGGCTTACTGTGTATCCTCAGTCTGTGGAGCTTCAGGGATGATGTTTCTTCTCTGTCGAAGCTATATTTTTTTACTCCTTATCTTCAGCAAGCCACTCCCAGCAGAATCCGCACGGAAAGGATTTTTTAAATGGACGTAAAAGGTTTTGAGTCAAAAATAAAAAATTCGATGAAAATAGCCAAACCGGCGGGAAAATGCCATCTTCTTCAGTTTCATTATTTTGAGGAATGCCTGATTTCACCTCGATATCTAACATGTTGTCCAACCCTCTAAGCTGACAGTGCAGTCTGCCTCTGCATAAGAATAAAGAGCAATGATAATATATGTCCACCTTTGAATATGCAGCCATTTCTCTTGTTTCGCTGTCTGCTTGTTTGAACCTTTGCTCAGTGTAGTAAGCTTTGATATTACCTCAGGCCTTCTACGACATTCTTCAACTTGATTCTCTCTGGTAAATTGTACAGTGATTCAACAATGATAACATAATGGTTGCTTTATTTCATTATTTTTTGTCAGGGATAAGTTTGAGAACTTTTGAATGTTTTGTGACAGACTGGCTGCTGTTTGATTAATGTTTTACATGTGCTTCACATGCTACAGGAAAGACTTTTCTTACAACTTTTCGATTTCAAAGTGTCAAATGAGAATATGAATGCTTTGTTGTGTTCAAAGTCACTGTGTAAAGTAGTTCTGCATGGAATTTTTTCTGTGGCGTTGACATGTGTATGTTGGATATGTCTTTTTGTTGAGGTCTCATGGCATTTCAAATTGCTGGTAGTTCGCTAGTGAAAAAACTCACTGATTATGGTGGCCCGAAATGTAAACTATTGTAAGATTGTCTTTATTGGGCTGTGCACACTGTGACTTCAGTACTGTACTCTTGATGTGTTCCTCCACCCTCTGAATAAATGTGATAAAATGGTGCAGGATGGAACTGGCCAAATTTTGAGATGTTGTTTGATATTTGAGCAAAAGGCTTCGACAATCTTCACTGACTCAGCCTCTATTTTGCTTCCTCCAAAAAGCCAGCTTTGTCGAACAAATACACTTCTCTTTTCATGTATTGAAAAATATTCTCTTCTTCTCCAGCTGAGTATATTATTATACTGGAGCTTGGTTACTTATATTTTTACTTTATCAATCAGTTTGACTGAAACCCTGCACAGTCAATATGACTCATAGTAGTCATAGGTGCATCATTTTTCAGGTATGGCATTATTAATATTACACCTGCTTTGCTGCTTTCAGTTGTCAGGAAATAATAGAAGTGAAATGACACAATTCCTGTCTCGCGAAAATGAAATGTTAGTAATATAGTAATCTGGTCTTTCACCCTCTAGATTGTTTGTCTTTTCTTGATAGATTTATTGTGATACTTTTATGTACTTATCTGGTATGTTGTTGGGTTGGTTTTTTTTACATGAACTGTGTCAGCAAAAAAATATACCGTACCTAACAACCTCACTTTTGTCCTGAGTCTGCTTGAGAAAAGTGTTCAGAGGTAGAAGATCAGACCTGAGCTGTGTGGGTGGTTGGTGGGTGCTCTGGTATGGTTGGCTCCTTTTTTGTGCCTGTTCCTGTCTTGTAGCACGTCTAATCTTTGACACTTATATGACCTAATGTGTTGCAAGTGCTATAAAACTCTTACTAAAACTAAAAAAAGACCTGACTCTGTCCTATTCTTATAGTTATAGATTTGTATAGTAGTAGTAGGTTGGCTCTTCGGTACCTGTGTAGTAGTGTGTCACCATCATGCTGTAAGCAAGCTGGGCTTGTTTTGGTTGTTCAGTGATAAACTGGGCATAGTTTGCTCATTCGCTACCTGAAAATTACAGTGTTCCATCTGACATTTTTGGCCATTTTGAGTTATTAAAACCATGAAGTCAGAAATCAGGTGTTCGATCTGCTCTATCAAATCGTAAGACTATTTGGAGTCGTTATCAAAACATTTTTTTAAATGCATAATTAGAAAAAGCTTGACATAATTATTGTGGAACATTTTGTATGTCAAATTTCTTGAAAATAGGTACTGAGCTGATAGAAACTTAAAATTCTAAGGTAGCGCATTGTCTTTTTTCACACAACTATTTCTGAGAAGGTTGGCTTTTCTTGATAAACTATTTCCCATATTGTTGTGCCGGTAGCCATAGGTTCACATTTTTGCAAACCCCACCCCCGCCCTACACCACATGCTATAAAAGCAATTTACAGATCACAAGTTATTTTTCAGTAATTTTGAGTGAGTTTAAATTTCAGTTTCATTACTGTTGGAGAAATCTTGGCATCTCATCTTCATCCGTTAAGACTTGACCCTATGCTAGAAGCTTATTCTTTGGAATACTTTTTAAGAGTATATATATAATATGCTAGTTCAATAGTAGTATTCATTGTATCATTCAAAGTTTTGAACTTTGAAAAGACATTGTGTGCAGTGTGGTCAGTGAAATTTTCACTTCCTGATACTAAATAGGAAGATGAACGTTTGATAGCCGATTGTGATAGCAGGAAGGGGAAAGAAATATCGGCCATGTCTTTCATTGCATGCAATTCTGTGACTTGTTTTCTTTGTGTGTTGATGCCCATTTCTGTTGTGTGCATGACATTAAAGATAGTGACATGTCTTTTACTTTTTGGTTGTTTTAAATTTTTTACTCCAGATTTCCCTTCTCTTGCCTCTGTGGTGCAGTTGTCTGGCTGTCTTCACTTTTCACACAGAAGACACAAGCTCAATGCCCATTTTTGGATGACATTTTATTGAGTATCTTCTGTCTGTCTGTCTGTCTGTCTGTCTGTCTGTCTGTCTGTCTGCCTGCCTGTCTGTCTGTCTGTCTGTCTGTCTTTCTGTGTCTGTCTGTCTGTGTCTGTCTGTCTGTCTGTCTGTCTGCTGGAATGTACTACTCGGATCAGGTTGGGCTGACAGTCACTGTAAAAGAAGCCTGCCTCCTAAATTTTTGTATTAATGTAAGTGAGCTAATGACATGTTTGCAATATAGTTTGGAGGATTTTGCTGCAAATTGAAAGCATTTTAGCTAACGGAACATTTTGATTGAACCTACAAAAGTTATAGGTAGGTAAAATTCAATTCACTTTCCTTGGCAACGACTACTCTGCAAGCAGCTTGGAACACAATTTTATTTCTTGGAATGTCAGTACCTAAAATTCCCTTTCGTGTCTCTCCGGGAAAATTGAGGTCCATTGATTAAGTGGTTTGCTTGCATGACTGACTGTATTGTACTATTTTATTTCACTTTGTCACTCTTTGAAAAGACACCTTGTCTTTAGATTCAATTTCTGTCAGATTGCATCTCATTGTGTGGTCTTTCATCCATAATATATTATTTTGTCACGTGCCAGTCAAA